TTTTTATTTTCGAACAAATCTGTGAGCGGAATATGTTTTCAAAGCGTCTAGTTTTGAGCCAGAGAGGCTGTCGTGCGGCATTTTTCGGGCTTCAGAATGTTCAAAGAGGCTTCGCTACTTCTTCAGGTATAGTTCTATGCTCTTTTTACTGATCAATTCCGGTGAACCAAGATTTTTTGCCCAGACTGGTTGAAGGTCGGCTAAACGTGCACGACCTCTTGTTCGCGTCTAAAGCGGATATAGTCATTGGCGATGTTTACTTTACTTTATTCGCCTTGAGATCCCTTTAAACTTTGTTGCAAATAAAAAGAATTGATTTTTACTAAAGATTTTGTCTAGAAAGCCAAGTTTTCTTTAAAAATCTGACCGATTATCATGATGAGTCTTTACAGTGTTGTTGTCACACAATAACTCGTTCGCGTCCGAAGCAGTTAGAGTCATTGGTGATGTTTACTTCGCTTTATTCACCTTACAAGATCGAACGTATTAGAGGAACATTGTTGACAGAGATGAGTTTAAAACTAACTCTGGGTTCATAGAAACTTCGTATGCAACGAAAGCTAGGTAAAGTCCTTGTATATGCGCAGTTGTTGTTAAAGCACTAGAGCTGAAATCAAATTCAAAATTAGGCGCTTACTTTAAAGGAAGTTTCGGTCATCGGTGGTCCTCGCAAGCCTTTGATTCTAGAGAAGAACATCGTAATTGCACTACCGAATCGGTACAGATGGGAGAGAGAGAGCGAATTAAACAGATTAATAATGGTGATATGATTTAGTGGAGTTTAGTTCGGTCCGTGATATATGAATGATCATTCGACGACTGTGAAGCGGCAGACGACCGATTTATCAATCACGAGTAAGACTATTGACAGAACTGGACGTCCTATCAACAGTTAATCAAAACTATGTCAAAATTTGACATGTAAACAAGCCATCGAGCATGCTATTCCATAAATGAAACAACCGTTCAATTGGCTAAATTAGCGGCAACAGCGCACACACGACGTGTACTGTCCAATTCTATATGTAGAAGCATGATGCGAATATTTTCTAATTACAATGTTCAGTTACAAGCATGATGGTCCTATTTTAATAATGGTAACAGGAATGAGTGCAGTCTGTAATCATACAATCATACAAGTGTTTAACAAAATTGGATGACCCCAACGGTCACTTACACCCATAACACAAACATTGTTCTTTATTTGCTAATGGCACAGACTAAGAGGAGTCCGTTTTGTATGTCATGATACATTTACTAGTGATTAAGGCTAGCAGGGACTGCTTCAGTCAAATTAAAAGCTTCAAGGAATCACAAAATTTCATTTTATATTTTGTCAATTGTCCATATAAACTTGATTCAAGGGATGTCTGTACCTGGTATTTGAACTTTTGAAATTATTAAGGTAATTCTAGCTGTTTCATTGTTACAATAGAGAGTCACTCCCTGGTATAACATGGGCTTATTTTAATTTAAGAGAGTGACCTTCAGGTATGCATACAAGTCATGTATTGTGGCACTGTTTTTTCATTGGTTTGAATTTCGATTCATTTTTGCAGATGCAAGGTTTTGTTTATCTGTGAGTCTAGTGACTCTGAACTGAAGCAAATTGCAAGTCAAACAATATGTGAAATTAAATAAAACAGCACAGAAAGTTTCATTTTGAGATGTAAACACAATGACAGTAACAAATATTTGTTTGGGTTCCTAGGACCTCTACTGCAGAAGACGGCACCTCTTGATCCAGGACTGGAAATGCCACAATGTGATTATGAACCTGAACAGTACCAGGTGGTACACATTAAATTAATTTTAAACCATACTTAGTATAGTTCAGCTCTCACCACGGCAATGGAGACTGTAGTTCTAAGTCACAAAGACATATCTGGAGTTAATTTTTTTTTTACCTGCAAAGGATGAGCAACAAATCAATCTTCAAAGTTGAATAGCAAGTTGAGAAGCCTTAGGTTAAAGTCTCAAAAAGTAATTTAATGTGTTGAAAAGGCATTAAAATAAGCCTTCCAGGTGGGGATTGCTACAACCAGCGAAGCTATGAGGCCTACATGGGGTAAAAGTTAAAACATTTGGCTTCTCTGCCCTATTAAAGACAAACTTGTTAATTAGGCTTTACTTTCAGCATTCCAAGTGTTTTGAATTTGTAGAGAATTGTGTACATTTATCACCTTTGTTTGAGTGATATGTATGTGTATTTGTGAACTCTACTGTTACTTTTTTATTCGTAAGATCTCATTAATAATTCTCTTTAATGTCTGCCATATAATTCATAGGATGTTAGTTTGGAGAATTTGAAGTTGGATCAACTAAAAATTTCTCTTTATTCTCATCACTTGTCTGCTTGATCTTGAATTGATATTGTAAGGAGAAATTCTTTCTTGGTCACTCATGCAAATTAAAGGGGTGATCAACACTTAAATTCTCAATTTTGATATGCTCTCAGGTAGACATGTAATGAGAATTTATAGTATGAATCAATGATAGAAAATAGCTTTGATGTAACTTTAAATTATTAAATAAAGGTGTGTTTGTTTGCTCTGATTTATCAGGGAATCTCATTTGAACATGCTAAAGAAGTGAGGAAAACCTATCTGAATCCAGCTTTGTTTTCATATTACAAGGAACCAGTGTTTATTTGCAAGGTACAGTTATGGATTTTCACAGATATACTCAAGTCAGGACGGCACAGTGTTATTGTGTTTCCCTACCACACCCCAATTAATCATGGTCCTTTTTAGAAAAGAAACTCTCATGACAAGTCTCATGAAACTCTGTGAAGATGACAAGCACTTGTAAAATTTTTTTAGCTACACCCTGTATACTGGTCAGGAATAAATTTTATCAGCTTATTCAGGAGAATCCTGATTTGCATGTATATCACACATACTTTTATTGCCAAAAGTGTGTGATTCCCTAACTAGTTTCTTTTAAGACCTGGTTAGTTGATCACCTTACAATAATCTCCCAGAAAATGATAATTTTTGAGGGACAGCTAGTCCTGGCAGATTACCCCACCTAACTGTGGTTATTTCAAATGCCACCACTCACTGAATTAAATAATTGTTATTATAAAAGATCATTTAATACCCAACTGCAATAAAAATTGCCCTAGACTTCTTAACATGTTGTGATTTTTAGGGTCACATGCAGTGGCTCTGGGACAGTGCTGGAAAAAGATACTTGGATTTATTTGCTGGTATTGTGACAGTCAGTGTAGGACATTGTCATCCGTAAGTTTTGGTGAATTGTTGAATTATCTTAGAAAATTAACTGTAGACAGTAGTCATGACTGGTGCTTGCTTACATCTTCACTCCCTGGGGTACAACCAAAAAAATGAAGTTCTTCTGATGATATTCATGTGTTTTTAAGCACTGAAAGATGATGGTATGTAAGGGAAATATCATTAAGGGAATATCACTCAATTTCTCTGATCTAAATTAAATTAACAGACATGTGTGGTAGAGAGTACTGAGAATTAACTTTAAAATCTTGGGCAAGAAAGGGTTAAGATAATTTCTAGTAGTAGGGTTATACAATACATTAAATCTTGTGTTTAATGTATATCTCCATCTCTGAATAGTCGAGAAGCCCTTCAGTTTATGATAACTGATAAAAATCTTTGTTACTCCGCAGTCATGTGACCAAAGCTGCAAAAGACCAGTTGGATAAATTGTGGCATACGACTAACATATATTATCATCCAACCCTCCATGAATATGCAGAGCTTATGGCATCAAAACTTCCTGGAAACCTTAAGGTAAACTGAAACTAGGGTTTTTAGATAATAAATAGGTTCAGAAAATTTTGGTTGTTCAGTACTTAGTATTTAAATGAAAGGAGTCTCTGAGAATATTAGAAGGTTAATGGGGTTGGGTTCATTAGAGCCAGTGTAGATATCCTGTTAATAAACAATTTGCAACATCTAACAATGTTTCCCTCAACTTCAGTGAGTTCTATTTTAGTGTTGTAACCCTCATTGAATGAGATACAATTCTGTAAAGGGTTTCGTGGTTTCCTGAAATGTTAAATGTCAGGAAATTGGTCAATTAATTATCCATTTATGCATGATCACTCTGATAGGACTCACAATGTCAATTAATTTAACACTGAATATTCAACTTAGAAGGAATTTAGGCAGCCAAACTTTATTTTTCAGTGCATCCCTTAATCACTGTTTTGGTTCATTCATTAATTCCATTTTTATTTGATTATGTCTTTGTAAGTTTATTTTTATTTTACAAAGTGTGATCTAATCTAACCCTGAGATTTTTTTATGACAGACTCTTCCTTTAATTGCCTGTGATGTTACAACTAGGAAGATATTGTTGTTTACTTTGAACAAGGCAGATCCATAGCTCTCTTGAGCTACAGTGTAGCTAGTCAGGTTATTAGGTAGGGAAATATGCTTTGAGCCTTTTTTTCCTTTTAAAAATAGACAGTGTGTGACTGTGGTAAATAATATCATATAATATAGTTGCTAGACATTTAAAATCTTCTACCATTGACTATTTGAGTTGTTTTGCCCACTGACCAAAGGCAAACAACATCCTCTAGCTTGGAAAGATTATTATCATTGGGCTTGAAGACAAATAAAAATGGCATTTACTACTTCTGTTCAAGCAAACCTGCGAGAATGGCAGGATCAATATGTAATGCCCTAAATTTTTGTACACAGAAGTATGTACATAGTGTAGTTCAAGAGAATCACCTTAATTGTCTCGTTGTAGTTATGCAATAATTGGGATCCAAATTTTATGTACTACATTTTATGTTTTTATTTTAGAATTTGCAGGAAGTTCTTTCTTTTTCACTAGGTGTGCTACTTTGTAAACAGTGGCTCAGAAGCTAATGATATGGCCATCATGATGGCAAGAGCTCACACTGGAAACTTTGATTTCCTTTCTCTGAGGTAAACTGTGGAGCGATAAACACTAATAAAAACTCCCAAGATCTGATTTTTATCTCTCCCCTCTAACTGATACACATTTCTTTGCAAATTAGTTACAAGAATTTGGTGTTAATTCAAGAAAACCATTTTTTACCTAATAAGTTTGAGTATGCTCATTACCCATTTACTGGAAAATGTATGGAAATTCTAGGGAGAAGTTACATGTTAATCACTTCTGGGAGTTGAAGGGTTGAAAGAGATGACATAGCATTAGAAATGGTTGACCTTTTAAACTCACAACATAATAATGATTATGATAATTTCCCTTTCAACGTCTTCAGCCACGCTCTTAGCTCATCAGGGACATCTACCGACCCCAAACTTAGTAAAAAAAAAAGGAAAGAAATCACCTGATGTGTACAATATGTGGATATGTTGATTTGAACTGTGTTGAAATTAGCAGGATTCATTTGGTTTCTTTTGTGGATTTGTAATAGAAATGCATATCATGGTGCCAGTCCATACACTCTGGGGATTCTTGCTCACAGCACATGGAAACTCAATGTCCCAGTGGGATTTGGATATTTTCAGGTAAACGGCGAAAAGAAGTTACTTGTAAATGTCATTTGATAACGTCTGCAGTTTTTGTTTCGATGTAAATATTCTCGAGTCCTTCTGCTCTGCTGGGTTGTAATGTTTTTAAAACGCTTATCTCCCCAGACTATGAACCCAGATGTGTACCAAGGACCCTGGGGCGGAGCTAACTGCCGTGACTCGATAGCACAGGTTGATGGGAATTACCGCAGCGTTTGGTGTAACTCACTTTATCATTGTTTCATTGTTCATCCATCTACCATCTATTAAATCATTCATTAATTCGTTCAATCTTTCGTTTCTCGTGCTTTATTCGTTTGTGTAATCCACTCGTTTGTTAATTTATCTCTAATTTATGAAATGTATTTATTCATTTATCGACAGACGGACAGAACATGTAATTGTGCGGCAGGTAAACCTTTCTTGAAACAAAAGAAAAAAATTCTATTAATAGATATGTGTGAGGAGCTTTTTCATTTTCAATGAAGTGATGTCGAATACACCATCTAACCAAAACATTTGTATCAATTAAGGTCAGTGTATGGCTTCCAAGATGTATGTTGATCAACTGAAAGATGTCCTGGTGCATTCGACTTCAAAAAAGGTTGCAGGATTCATAGCTGAGCCTATTCAGGTCAGAATGCTTTTCCCAACTTCTGAGTCGTTTACGTAGTAGTTACGAACATTTTCCGACTTGACATAAAAAAATTTTGTATGGATGACGTAGATGTGTTTGGATACCAGCGCCCCATCTGATTGGTTGTTTCTTGCGAAGCGAAGCGAAAACCATACTACAGCCAATGGTTGTTCTTTATTTTGGCCTTATTTTGAGCATGTAACATATGTAGGTTCTTAAATTGAGCGACGATTTACTCAAGTTTACGGTGGCCAATTTACGTTTTCAACTCAGTTGTTAGCTCTAAGTTACC